GGCCGTCGAGAAATCAGCCGCACACTCTCTCACTCTCTCACTCATCTCTCACAATCCCCCCGTGCAAACGGAGTGGTCAATGACGGGGGGGCCCCCCGCAGGGACAAGAGTACGCGCGGCAGGGACCCCAAGAACCCCGCTCAGCTCTTTGACACAATCCGAGTATTCAGGGAGCGGGGGCTCAAAATTGCGGCCCCGTCCAGTAACAAAAGGTAATTCACAACTGGAAAGAAACATGTCAAGCCGAGACATAATGCCAAGGGTGCGATCTGAAAGTTCTTCAGCGTGGTAGAGATAGGATGGCACGACAAAGATAGGAGAGGTGCCAGGAAGATGGATGGATCCCGCAAGACATCTACTTGGGACAATATTTCCACCCTGCAGCGCCCGAAGGCCAATCCAATCCTCCAGCCGACGCATCCGCCTAAGTCTTCTCTGCATCAGACCAAAGGGACTTCCAGCCCTTCTTGATGCACCACGAGTGAGCAGCCTGCACGTCCTCCCCTCTCAAGCTGTCTCCAGAAGGCCTCGCATACTGCCCCAGGGGTCGCAGTTGATGGTCTGGATACAAAGCTCAACACTACTAGGACCAGGTCCCACTCCTCCATCCTTGTCACAAGCCAGCTGAAAGAGGATCTAGTCTGCGCAGGCTGCGGGTGCACGGCTGTGCCGACGCCCGCGTTCTGAGACCTAAAATCCAGACAATTTGGCAAAATGTGGGGGCCGGCAGGCTGGTGGATCGGAGGAGGAGGACGTGCCAACATCTCCTCTTTTCCAAGCTCATCCTGCCTAGAGACATGCAACCCTCGCTCGTGGAGACGGGATTCGAACCTTTCACCCACATCTGCCAAAGGAAGCTGAACCACAGTGACAGAAGGGACAATTTTGCCTTCTCCTGCTCCAAGCTGCACAACTTGATAGAGCAGGGGAGGCCGAGAGGAATCGCAGGCAGCTCTGGAAAAGGACCCGCCTGGCTCCGAGTCCCGCTGACACGAGGAGGACGGCGACGCAACCGCAGCGGCACGAGCAAGCAGCGACGACTATCGCGACCGAACCGATCTTTTCTTCCGACAGGACACCAGGACTTCTTGAAAAGAGTGGGAGGCCTCTCCTCCGCCAGAGACTAATACGAGCTGAATGAAGGCAGTCTGGGACTGCAAAGTCATCTCGACGCGGCACTGGCGGCAGGCAAGAGGCAAAGCTAGCTGAGAACAACATGGGCCCCCCCTGAAGGCCGGCAGGCAAGCAGCACAGCAGACGAACTTCAGGACTCCATACGCTCTGCTCCTCCAGGGGGGGCGACCTGCGACGGCGCATCCTGGGCGATCCTGCCAGCTCGTTCGCGCGGGCCCTCTCCAGCCCTTGCTGCGTCGGCGTCGCCAGCGACAGCTGCGGCAGCCGCGGAGCCGCTCGCGGGCGCGGGGGCGGCCCCGGCCGCGCCACCGGGGACAGCGGGGCCTCCAGCGCCCGCTGCTGCCGCTGCTGCTGCGCCCCCCTTTTGCCAGGGCTGCCTGCAGGAGCTGCAGCTGGCACGGCGCCGCCATCATTGCACTTTCTCTTTTTCTGCTCCCCCTTGAGCCGTTGAAGATGAGCCTGGCGTTGGGTCTCGATGGCGTCGACCTCGGCCCTGGAGTCCTTGAACAAGTTCGCAGCCATTGTTGCAGTGCCCGCTCGAAGCTGAGCTGCCCTGGACTCCAGCCCCTTCTGGTCCGACTCACTGAGCTCAAACTCCAATTCGTCAACGTGGAAGAGGGGCTCCGCTGACAGGTCGAGCCACGAGCCCAACTTCGCATCATCCAGCATATCATCGATGGTGAGCTCGGCCCGCATAATTACCCGACGCGTCAGAGTACACGGAGTGCAGGCGATGGAAGAGAGTGTTGCGTTCTTTCTCCGCGGCCGCAAGCTCCTCTCGCAGCGTTAAGACGCGCGCCTGTCGGGATGCCAGCTGCTCCCCCATGGCCTCGAACTTGAGAACTGCTGCCTCCAGCCTCTTCTCAACAGCACGAGCCTGGCCATGCGCGCGAGACAGCTGGACTTGCAGGGGCCCCTGTTGCTTCGGACGCGGGGCCAAGGCTTGAGCTGCAATGCGCGCTGGCTTGGCCCCTTCAGCATCACCTAGCTTGTCGCGCAACTTGGCCATCTGTTCGCACTCTTCCAGGGGCAGCCCCGGCTCTGCCTGGAGAACTTGACCCGCTGGGGCGCCCATAGAGCCTGCGTGACTGCAGCCCTTGGTTCCTTTGAACCCCCCAGCAGGCTGCTGCGACCCCTTGCCGACGTGCGAACCCTGCCATTCACTGTTTGGCAGCATCCTCGTAGAACCACAATGCTTGCACCAAGAGAACTAGCTGGCATTGCGTTTGCAGCCGCACATCTCGCACTGCCACCGACCTCTGCCCTGAGGAGGGGACCAGGATGCTGAGGACCAGTAACGAGAGGAGGCCACTGGACGAGGCTAGCCCGATCCTGCGCCCACGGGGCGGAAGCTGTCCACTTGCCTCCGTGTCCATGGCCTGTCGAGCCCTTGCCGCCGCCTTTCGACATCGCGCAACAGAAGCCGTGTCGAGTGAAGTGAAGGTAAGTGCCAGCTGATGTACCCAGCTGGGCCAAGAAGAAGAGCCAATTTGGCCCGCAACAGCACCTAGCCGCTTCGAAGGGCCATGCTTCTGCAAGCACGAGCTTCTCTCAATTCAGCTCGAGCCGAAACGGCTCCTGGAATGCAGTTGGATAGACTTGTATAATATGACGATGCGCGCCCAGCTGTTCGGACTTGTACATCATTTGTGTCATAATCTTGGTCGCCTCGCGACGGAGCGCGCAGTCCACCCGACGCTCGCAGCGTTGCCGTGGGGAGGTGGCGATCGACTCCGATGCGACTCGTTGGCCGAGGCGCGCCTTGGTCGGATCCAGCCGTGCGATGGCACATTCACGTCGCGCGCGCGGTAAGTCCCAAACAAAAGAAACACGCCATGCGGACACTGAGGAAGCCACGCGGATCCTTCGACGATGCAGGGGTGAATGAGACAGGGGGACCAGTGGACCAGTTCTCCAGGGATGGAGCTGGGACTCCTACAGGCCAGCACATTTGGATAGGCACAGCCTGGAGATACACACGTGTAAGCACCCAATTCGACACATATCTGCAGAAGCCGAACCTATTCATGTTCCAGATGCCCAACGGAATGATGAGCGAAACCTTCCCCACGACGATGCGCTCTGCTGACTGCGCTCGTCGGGCCTTGGCCACAGGCTCGCAGCAGGCGGCGGGGCGCCTGGCGCCGCCGCTCCGTCCTCCTGCCGGGGCCCGCGAGCGCGGCCCCCGAGACGCTCCACGGCGCTTCCTCCCCGCGCCAGCGGCCGGTAGGGACGCCGGAAGTTAGAGCCGTCTGGGGGTCGTCCGAGGTGGCCCAGCAGTGTCTCTGGCCAGCAGGAGCGGCAGGCAGGTTCGAGGTTCTGGGTTCGGGAGGGTTCGTTTGCTGTTTTAGGCCTCGGGGGGTCGCTTTCGGACCCCCAGACCGTCAAAGACTGCTTCGGGGCGAGGGACTGCACCAGAGGGACCCCCGGAGGGGTGCGGGGACCGACTTTGAGCGGATTTGGCTTCATTCCCTCTCCTGACCGGCTCCTCGAGGCCCCGACCAGTTCAGAGCCCCCAGCCGCTTCCGAGCCGGAGCCCCGGCGGTGGCCACGATCTGGGGATCCTGCGCCTCCCCGTTCGCGGATTCGGTGCGCATGGCACCAGAGACGAAGAAGCGGCAGCAACACATGCTCTGTTCCCGGCGGTCCACGCGAACCTCTTCGGTCGGCGCTGGAGCCCCACGGTGGCGTCTCCACCGCCGCCCCTGGCGCGCTCGGCGCGCTCAAGGGAGTGGGGTCTAGCGCAGATCCAGGACATCCGCGTGAACCGTCGAATGTTACAGTGGAGGCCCATGCCAAAAAACACCCTTCTCGTCTCCAGGATGTCCTGGGTTTCTCGGGTTTCGATGGTCTTGCTATGGAAAAGCGTGACGTTCCCACGCCAAAAATCAATGGACGCCCTGGGGTCTCAGGGCTGGGTTTCTCGTGGAAGGCTTCTCGTGGACCGGCCTCCACCGTAATGTCTCTGCCGCTCCTGCCCGCCTCTGTGACAGGCAGGCGTCGAGCCCAGAGCAGGCCACGAGCCATCCCCGCGGCGCCCCGCGCTGCGACCTGCACGGCGTTGCTCGCCCCCCCGCTGGCTCCGCGGCGCCCTCTCTTCACCGTCGGCTGGAGCAGCGACGGGCCTGCGCCCGTCCACAGGGCAGTCACCCCCGGCAGGGGCCCGGATGGGGAGCGGGCGGTTTTTCGCGTGACTCCCCGGCGTCAGGCGACAGGGACGGAGTGGAGGGAACGGCACGCCTCCTGTCCGCACGGGGCGAAGAGCCGCAGAGGGGTGTCCTGAGAACCGACGCTGGGACGGCGCCGACGCAGGTTGGCGTCGAAACTTCGATGGCCAGTCAGCGCGACCGCACGGACCCCGGCTCCGCGGTCTTGAGCCCGCCGTTCCGCAGCAGTGCGTTCCAGGCGCCGACGGTGCCGTGGGACTTGGGCAGCACCAGACATGTGGCGACGCGATGGTGGAGCGGGGAACTCCGATTGCGTTGCCTTGGGATTCGAGCCACACTAGCTGGAGCCCAGCCGGCACTTGAGCCAACATGGGCATGGAAGATGAGGATCACGAGGAGGGAAAAGGGCGAGGGGGGCGGGAGGGGGGAGGAAGAGGGGGGGAGGGGGTGGAGAACCCAGGCATGCGACGTCCTGATTGTTTCAGGACGGCGTCCCTGGAAGTCCCGACCCTAGCCCCGGGACCGGTTTTTCGTCCTGAGTAGTTTTTGTGACGGACCCGAGGGAGGCCCACCGAGGGCCCCCGGGGCCGAAAAGAGCCACGAATTGCCCGTCTCGAGCTTTTACGAAGCGATCACGTCTGGGAAGGAGGGGGAGGAGAAAAAGGAGGAGGAGGAGGAAGAGGAGGAGGAGGGAGGAGCAGGTGGAGGAAGACGCCCGCTGCTCCTCCTCCTCCGATCGGCCCCCTCTCCAGGACGGTCCGCCGGCGACGTGCACCCTCAGCCTGGCGCGGCGCGGGCGGGCAACAAAAAAAAACCTCGCGGCGCCGAGGGAAGGCTCAAGAGGGAAAAAAACACAGACACAATGAATCGTCGATTCCCCAGAAACTATGGGAAAATATAGGAATTGGGCAGGAAGACAAAAACCCAGAAAATATAGAAAAATAATGGTAATATGGTTATTAGTGTGTATTTATTTGTGTGTTTGTGGGCCCCTTCAAAGGCGCGGACAGCGGTTTCCCTCATTGGGCTGAAGTCGGGCCTGTGCCTCTACAGGAGGAATACTCCAAAATAGTCCAAGAATAGTCTGGGGACGATTGTTCTACCATGTTTGGCTATTCTGGTGTATGGTTGGCCTATTTTTTATGTTTCGTCTCCGCCTGTAGGGGGACATGCCCGACCTAAGATTCCCCTCACTGGGCTTGGTTTAGGCACGGGCTCGGTTAAGACACTCGGCTTGCCTGGTTTGGCCACGATCTCTCGGAGCATGGTCACGGGTGGCGCACTCTGGCACGATTCGGGGTGGGCTTCGCCTGCAGCGCCCTCATAATCCCACCAGCCCTTTGGGCTTAGGTTGTATCACGCGGTTTTTTTTCTCTCTATCATTGTTCCCTTTCATAAACGCCCCCTCCCCCAGGCGACTGGGGGCCAACCCGAGTCCATGCCGACACCCCCCCCCACCATCCCTTGTAAAAAACAATGCAAAACACATTTTGCTTCCAAATTCGGAACATGCGCAGCCAACCCGATGCGGCCCCCCGCCACCATCCCTGTCAAAAAACAATACAGAGTACATTTGGCGGCGGCGGCGGCGGCGGCGGCGGCGGCTGCGGCGGCGGCGGCGGCGGTTGCGGCGGCGGCGGCGGCGGCGGCGGCAGGGGCGGCGGCGGCGGCGGCGGCGGCGCGGCGGGCGCGGCGGCGGCGGCAGTGGCGGCAGCGGCTGCGGCTGCGGCGGCGGTTAGGCAGCGGGGGGCGGCGGCGGCGGCGGCGACGGCGGCGGCGGTGGCGGCGGCGGCGGCGGCAGGCGGCGGCGGCGGCGGAGGCGGCGGCGGCGGCGCGGCGGGGGCGGCGGCGGCGGGCAGCGGCGGCGGCGGCGGCGGCGGCGGATTGGCCCCCAGTAGCTGCCCATCCAAGAACGACTGCTGAATGTGCTGAGGCTCGGGCCAAACTCGGGTGCTACGTATGTGTCGGGAGGGCGGGTCGGAGTGAACGAGGCGGCTTGCGGGCGGGGAGGTAACTTGACCCTCCCCCTACCCCCTCCCCTGGGCCTGGGAGGGGGGGACGGAGGCACCGCAGCGTCCAAGATGGCCCAAGAAGGCTCCAAGAGGGCTTCAAAGTCGCAAGATGGCCTCCAAGATGGCCCATGTTACTTCAAGATGGGTCAAGATGGCCTCCGACATACCCCCAAGAGGCCCCAAGACAGCCCCCAAGACGGATCCAAGTGCCTTCCGAACCTTCCACGGCGCCCTCCAAGATGCCAAAACCATTCAAAAGACTCGGGGAACCAATGTTTTTGGCATTATCGCCTTTTCGCTTCCGATGGGTCTTGGAAGCCTCAAGAGGGCCCCCAGATGGCCCAAAAGAGGTCCAGGAGGGGCCCATGAAGGCCGAATACGGCCCCATGATCGCCCAAGAGGCGCCCAACAGCGCTCCAAGAGGGCCCCAAGATGCAGTTTGAGAGGGGGCGACGTTAATTGATGGACCTCCTTTTTTTGAGCCATGGGGCCCAAGATGACCCCAAGAGGCCTCCCAGCCTCTCCCCAAAGACCCTCCACCCCGCCCTGTTTGGCCCAAGATGGTTCCAAGAGAGCCCTAGATAGACAAATCTGGTTTCCAAAATGGCCCAAGATAGCCAGGCATCGGTCAAGATAGCCCCCGACAGACCTCCAAGAAACGTCAAGACAGCCTCAAGATGGCCCAAGATAGCCGAGCATGGCTCCAGATAGCCTCCGACAGCCCATAGCCGAGCATGGCTCAAGATAGTTTCCAAAGAGACCCCAAGAAAACTGGCAATCAATTATGGATGGGCTGGTGGGGATACGCGAAGCGTCAAGAATTCAACTGGCCTGGTCTGACGTGGCCCGGGCGGCAAACAAAGGCAAAAACAGGCGATTCCGAACCGCAGCACCGAAAGGCATTGAGCGTAGCGCGGTTCAGTAAAAACGGGTGCAAGCTATGCGGCATAGGCTATGCGATGTAGGCTACGTGGTGCCAGTCGTGCGGTGAAGGCTACATGGTGGAAGCGACGCGGCCGGAGTTATGCGATCTAGAGCAATGTCTGCGGTGGACGTTATTTGGTGCAAGTTCTGTGGTGCATACCGTGCATCGCCTCGCGTTGGCCCGTGGACCAGCGCCAAGAAACAATACCCCGAGATTGCATATATTTGTCCCACCCTATTGTCATATATACATATACATATATACATAATATATATATATATATATATGTGTGTATCTCGTCGCAAGATGTCGCCCCAATTGTACACACCGATATGACTATCACGTGGCATCCATATTCATAGTTATACGCCGTCGCATCCGATGCGGGTCTTCGGTATGCCGCTGCTTTTTTGCGGTGAACGAGTGAACGAATCAGATGTCGACCTCGTTATTAGATTCACTAAGAGCACGCATGTACATAGACCGTACTGTGCATCAGTCAGTTTAGGTGTGTGTGTATACATATATGTATACACGGATAGATATGCGTACATTTGTATAGCCTTTTTTTGTGCATGTAACGCTTGCATTGCCATGGAGTCCTTTTGAGGTCAAGAGCCGCCCAAAACGCAGAAGCGTTTGACATGGCAGCGGAATTTGGTTTGGCTCCCGCTGCGCGGCGGCAAACGCGGTAAAGACGCCAAGGCACGCCAGCAGTGCAGGGGCGAGCAGAGACTCGCGCGTGTGTTAAGGACGAAGACGGTGGTGCGTAAGACCGCCTCATCCATCCTACGCAGCAGGTAGCACCGCGCGCATCCCAACCGCGGGTGGCCTTGCGTTTGGTTCGTCAGTTGTGGGCAGTTCCTCGCAGGTTATGACTCGGCACCTGCGCGCGAGGAGGCACATCAGGACCAGTGACGTGGGCAGGAGGAGCGCGAGCAGTCTGTCGGAGACGGCAATTTCATGGTGTTCCTTCCTATTTCAATGCGTCCCTGGCCCCACCCTGGGCCGCGGCAGGACAAACGCATCAACACGCGCCCGAGCGATGCCAAGAGAGTTGCATGACGAGCGGCATCGCCGAATTCACCATGGCGGATATTTCTTTCGACATCTCCGCGGGGATGCCTGCTACGTGCCGGAGAGCGAGGCCATTCCGCCAAAGATGCGCGCCGTGATTTTGGCCTTACGCTCTCCGGACCTATTTGTGGTCTCCTGATGCTCTGCATACGCGGGTCCGCACTCTCCTTGTTCTTTTTCGTTTGGTTTTGGCGGTTTGGACGCGATATTTCTTGCCGTGCAGTGCAGACAGGCGGACATGCAGCGAGGTCAATGAGGCGAACCCCACCAAAAAGGTTGGCCCCAGGCCCCAGGAGTTCCATTATGACAAGTGTTAACAACCAAAAGTATTGTTGAATTTAATATTTTTGATATCGTTACCCGGTGACGTTGGACCATTACCGTATTGTGAAGAACGAAAAAAGATTGGCACAATATAGGACAACCGATACAAGCACTACAAATTGTAACTGGGGATAACTAGGGAGGAGGCCGTTTTCGAAGCATGATTTACCGTAGCCACCAGGGTCGCCGAAGCCGAACTCGCGTTGCCCACCGTGGTTTCTGAATCCAATTCCCGCGTCCAGGGCATCTTTTTCTGGTGATACATTGCAGAAGGTCGTTGCCAAAACATTTGCCAAGCAGTTCCAGATGGAGATCAAATCAGCGGTCTGGCCAAATTATTTTGATATCAAGGGGAAATACGGAATGGATGCCGGCATAGTGTATTATAATACTAATAAAATACCGACCTGTATTAATTTATCGATTGGTAAGGTCGAATTCTTCCGTATTTGCAGAGCTTGTACATGTGAAATATTCATATGGCCGACCCATTTTTGGAAAGGTTGGTTCGTGACGCAATGGTATGGCCGCCAATCCAAATTCAAGCGAAGAGAGAACGCAAGGAGAACTCGCCCAGAAAACTCGGATTGTAGCGTTATCAATTTTGATCAATTCCGACACAATATGGGTAAGTCACGGAAACGGTTTGGGCGGATATTGAAATCGATTTGGGTGGATACCGAAACCGGCATGGATGGTAATCTTACGAAAATTATGGGCACTGCTTTTCTTCTGCCCAGATATGGCCCCCTTTCACGGTGCGGTCCAAGCTGCCAAAACATTTTCATAACCTAGGGATAATCAATGATTTGTTTGGCATTATCGCCTCATCGTTTCTGATGGGCTTCGGAAGCATCAGGCTCTAAAATGGCTCAAAAGAGGTTCAAGAGGCCGAAAACGGCCCCAAGAGCGTTCCAAGAGGGCCCCAAGATGTTGTTTGAAAGCCTCCGAGGGCGATGCTAATTGAAGAATCTTTTTTTTTGTTTGTGCCATGGGGCTTAAATTTGATCTCAAGAGATCTTCCATTGTCTCCGCAAAGATCCCCCCTCCCGGCTTGTTTGGCTTCGGGTGGCTCCAAGCTTAGATAAACAACATTTGGCAAAGCAGTGGTCACACGTTTCAGTAATAAGACGCACCATGTCAGTTTTAAAAAAAACCGTTTCAGTAGCAAGGAAAGCGTTTGTATAATAAACACAATGTGTAGGTCGTCCACGAAATATGCGCGAGGGCTCAAAGATGGAACGCGTAGAAGATTTTTCCTTACCTAGGCTCTGCCTAGAATAGAGTTCTTATTTTCTATGAGCATTAAGATCCGGGCAGTGGAACACGGCCCGGGAGGTACCCCCAGTCCCATGGGAGCGGTTCCCCCCTGTCCCCTGGGAATCTTAGCTTTAGCGTTAATTTAATTTTAGATTAGCTTTAATTTTGCGTTTAGGTTTAGTTTAGGATTTAAGTTTAATTTATTAGTCTTATTAGTCTATCCTTTACCTTCTTCGCCTTAA